CATGTGATTTTTTTTTCATTTTTAAATAGAAACTTCTAAAATACTTGACCACCCCTCCTCCGGCTAGCCATGATGAGAGGCGCACGCCCCCAATAGCGGGACCATAAGTCATCCCAACATGGCGGCTGTTCGGGAGCGACGAGACAAGAACTCCGCGGACCGGTCTCCCGTCCCTCGGCCAGCTCTCGCTAAAGGTTTCGCGAAGCTCTCGCGTCCCTAGATATTGCGTTAGAACGGCAGGGACCATACTCGGGTCGGCGTCGGCGCCGCTCCCCTTCCGCCATGTTGACCGGGGCGCCGTCCCTGACCGTGCCCACCATGCAGCCGCCCCCGGGCTGGAGCGGCTGCGGCTGCGGCTGCGGCCCGGCCCGCCGGCCTACCCCCGCCGAGATCATGAACAAAGTCGAGAGGCAAGTCACGGGCGTTGCCGATCCTGCAGAACAAGAGTCGCCCCGTGCTGGAGTGGTGCGCTTGCATATTGCATGGCCGCGACCCTCTCCTGCACTCCCTGCACCCGCCACGGCGACAGGACGTCTTGGCCCGCTAGGCTCAGGGAGCTTAGGCGGCTTAGGCGTCGCCTCGGAAAACGAAATGACACCACAGCCAGGCAGGGCAGGCCTATGACTTTGGCAACAGGTACGCGGGGCGCCGACGTGACCCAAGCTGCCGGCTGCATTTCCGAGTTGGAGCCATGACGCGGCCGCCATGACTGCAGCTCGGGTCCAGGTTATCCTCCCCCCCTCCCCCCGGGCCCCGGGGGCCGCCCCTGCAGCAGCCCACCCAGTAATACACGCCATTTCCAGCGAATTACCGCGTCCCGACGAGAAAATCACGCGCCAACGAGTGGCGCCATCCCTAGGCCGCTTCCCGACCGGCCCTCGCCTGGATAGAGGGCGAAACAGCAGAGGAAATCCAGACTCACCTGCCACATCACCAGCGCCTCTTGTCAGGGGGAGCGCAACTCCGTCTTCTCCGACATCGATTTTCCGGACGTCACGGTGGTGCACTTCCGGTGGGCCCCCGATGGGGTAGAGGGGGACGCCAGTCGCCAGGGGAGGGGGCATCCCACCCGGTGGATGAGGAGTCCTTCAGCTCGTCCGGCCGTGTCCAGGATTTTGTAGTTTTGACTGTCGAGTGCTTGCGCAGGGCGGGCTCCTCGTCGTGAAGCCATACTTCATGGTGTGTTTCACAAAAGTTTATTTGTTCTGTCTAGTGTGCTCCTGGCTTCGGGACATCTGGATGCGGTTGAATGACCTGGGCGATGCACCAGGCTGCCGGTATATATTTGATTTGTCATACTGTGCCTGGTGGCTGGTGACAACACTCAGTGTTTAGGGACTCTTTGGAGCCCATTTGGGGAGCCATAAGCAGAGAACTACAAGGTAGTTATGGAAATAAACAATTTGGTAATAGACAGTGTCACTTTATTCATGATTCATAATGCCTCTAATTCATTAATTACAAAGTCTTACACGTATTCTCCAATTGCAGAGATCTAGTGAGAACAGAATGAGATTGCATTTTTACTTGCAACAGAAATAAGTTACCAATAACTAGTTTTACCCGACATTTTACGACATAAAAACGAAACAATGCATCCCTGGAACACTATTAGGTTAGATTTAAAATCGCTAATAGGATAATAAAGTCATGGAAATGCAATGCGTTTTCTAGTGAAATGTCGCTTTGATTGTAAGAATAACAGTAAAGAGACGACAGAATGCCAATGTCACTGTTAAATATGCACAGGCACAGTAAAGTATCTTAATAAATTGATATTTAAA